ATGTATGTTATAAAATATTTTCAGATATCAAACATAATGCTTTAATGTTAAGTTTGATGCCAGACGTGATATAACCGACGTTTAGACAGAAAATATGTTCTTTCGTTATCTTTACTTAATACTCAATTCTATATATATTTTATAAAAAATTATAAAAGAAAATGGCAGAAAAACTGTCTCTTTACAATCTAAGTAATGTATCGTGTTCTTGAAAAGTTATCCAGCAAAATAGTTTGGCAGTATATTACATGCAATACTGTTACCTGCCTCTTATTAGCCGATGGCGCTTTTCTTAATTTCGATTTGATTTAATATTTGAATAGTACAGTGATATTGTAGACGACATAAAAGGTAACATGGTACACCACTTTCAAAAACATAATGATTTACGTATGATTTTTAAATACAAATGTTTAAATTCAAAAATACCTAGCGAATAATTTTTTGTAAAAGCTGCAACAAACTCTGACCATATAGCATTAAATGAACATGTACATTTTTGTAATTATATTTCCACCATGTTGCCAAGTACGAAAACCAATCTTGCAAACAAAATTTTACATTTTGCTGTATGAAAAATGAACAACGATTTTTCTTATAAAAGCAAACAACACATTTCCAGCTTAGACATTGCATAATGAAATAATTGCCTGTTATGTGTCTAGTAGCAAGATTTTCAAGTGAATACTTTGAAAGAAACAAACATTCAGCTATTGTACTGCTCTACATATTTCAACGAAGCAAACAAAACGAACCCCTACCACAAAACTAAAATCTTTATCATGTAACATATATTTTACTGTTTTTCTTCTTATGTAAATACATATTTGTATCCAACCTCGTATTTATTTATTTATTTAATTATTTATGCTTTGTGTGTATATGTATTTCTATATTTATCAGCGAAAGGTGGGAAACCGAATGCCGAAAATACGGAATGCATGATGATTATACAGATTCAGCTATATACGTTGTAGAAATGGATTAGAACGAAATCTTAAAATAGAAAATCTTATAAAGTTCTTCTCCAAAGTAATTATAAGTTTACAACAAAAAGATGTCACCGCATCACAGTCTTGTAAGTCTTGTTTGTATTGGAATTAATTTTCTTATAATCTTTAAGATTATCAAACGTATACAAAATAACGAAAAATAAATTCAAAAGCTAAAAAAATATAAAATATCAAAACATTGTCTCGGTAGAAAATATTCTCATAATTTTTTAAATTATTTCTAAATATTCATATTATTTATTTATTTATTCATAAACATTGTTAAATAAATGAGAAAAAAACTTATCTAATATATAAAAGCAGTAGATAAAACAATTTTTGAAAAAATATAGTATATCAGAAATTCTGATATATCGGACCTTGGTGGCAGAGATGTACGCCGAAGAATTAAGGGGAGATTACTGTGTGGAGATTGATCCGTCCTGTGTATTCATTGTTCAAGGTTCTTATCTGAAGTTCGACGGAATAGACGATACGACTGATAACACTGTAGACATTAAATATGCGTTATAAAGAATCAAAGCAACTTTCCGGAATACTTGCAAATATTTTATGTCCGAAAATTTGCGATTGTCAAAGAAATCCGAACAATATCAAACGGTCCGTATCAGAACAGTCACCAACAGCCGACATATTTTTTCACTTTTGATTTTTAATAATTTCTATCACTTAAAGTTTTGTTTTCAATTGTGTATAGATAAATGAAGAATAAAGGTATAAAATAATATTTCGTAAGAATAAGGTAAGCATGTACTTTTATTGTATTAGATGGGCGCTATTTCTTAGCACATGGTAAGCAACAGAATTCCTAAAGAAAGCCCAACATAGCAAAATTTAAAATGTTGCAGACTCGGTTTTACTGAACCTGTTCATGGACGGTACTGGAAAGTGCAAGTAAACGTCCACGCCCCTTAGTACCGGCTGAAGCAGAATGAAACATTTTAACACGAAAATGGTGTAATTTTGAATTTAGAAACATCCGCAGATGTGTTCATATGGCGGTTATCATGGAACATTCAATGTGACACAGTAGTGTCATTCCATAAATAGCGGCGTAGTCCCCAAATAAAAGAATGTGTGTGCCCTATCACTACATGGATATCGTCACTACATGGATATCATCACTACATGGATATCATTAATCTTTAATTTATTTTTGTTCTGTTTGTTTAATTTCAAAACTATATTCTTTGTGCTACAGTCAATGTTATTTGAATAAAAGCTACAGCTTTAGAATCTAAGTATAATGATAACTGAAGCGGAAAAAATCACATTAAGCTAAATGCAAACATGCGCATAGAAAATACATTTACATATCATCATTTGAAAAGTTTTCAAGAATCGATATAGTCGTTTGACGGGATACCACGTTATAATTTATTTATGAACTAAAATGTTTTGTACGAAAATCATAATTATTCAATCTATTTGTAATGTCATAATATTTCTTTTGTTTAAAAACAACAACAAGCAATTATCATAGTATTTCAAGCAATACAATTCAATTATGCAACTGTGGAAGACATGAATGAAGTTTTAATCTTTTGAGATCTAAATTTGTCTGTATCATAGTTATATAATAAGCTTCCCTGCCTAGTAAGGAAATTATATATTTAATTCAGTCATTTACGCTGAACAAACGTTTGAAGTGTTGTTTTCGTGACGTAATTATGCAGCGCCAAACATCGCGTGCAAAAACCGCCAAAAAGAACGATATTTCAATGTTGCAAAATGGTATAATATCATTTTAATTTTATATAAAGTCTCAAAATGTTAGTGCAAATGGTAGAATTTACCGACATTTTTTTCTTTTCTTTTTATATATATATTTTCTTTTTCAACCAAAAGAAAGCCTTTAAAGAACGTTGCATGCTATTAGAAACTGAAAAACTTATTTAACCACCAAAAAAAGTCCATATATTTTTTTCTTGATTATTAAAATGGAAATAGATCTTGATTTCGAGTCCTCTGTCGTTCAAATGTTTTTAATTAATAACTTAGACCTACGACCTTATTATCCCCCGCCGAAAAGGCGGCGGGGGATATAGAATAGTCTCCGTCCGTCCGCACTCACAGGAGAGTAATTATGTGGCAAGAGGGACAATAGGTAACTGTTCTTTCTCTTTGATGTCATTCATTCCGTAATGCTTTTATGTGGCTATTTTCTTTTGTGTGGCTAAAAAGAACAATAGAGTAGCCACATAATTACTCTCCTGTTAGAACTTCCGTCCGACCTTCCGTCCGTCCGTCCGACATTTTTGTCCGGAGCATATCTCTAAAAGTATTTGAGTAATCAACTTGAAACTTCATAGGTGGATAGACCTCATTGAGGAGGAGTGCAGTGCACAAGAATGATAGCTCTACCCTGCATAATTTTGTAGGTTATTGCCCTTTGTTATTTTTCAAAATTGATTTTTGTCCAGAGCATAACTCCAAAAGCCTATGAGATATCAACATGAAACTTTATAGGTGCATAGATCTCACTCAGGAGGTGTGCAGTGCACAAGAATGATAACTCTACCTTTCATAATGTTTGAGTTATTGCCCTTTGTTATTTTTCATACTTAATTTTTCACCTGAGTGGAGCATAACTCAAAAGGTGTTTGACATATCAACATGAAATGTCATAGGTGGATAGATCTTATTGAGGAGGAATGCTGTGCACAAGAATGATAACTCTTCCCTATACAATTTTTGAGTTATTGCCCTTTGTTCTTTTTCATGCTATTTTGTCCAGAGCTTATCTCAAAAAGTATTTGAGGTATCAACTTGAAACTTCATAGGTGGATGGATCCCATTGAGGAGGTGTGCAGTGCACAAGAATGATAACTCTACTTTTCATAATTTTAGAGTTATTGCCCTTTGTTATTTTTCAAAATTAATTTTTGTCCAGAGCATAGCTCAAAAGTGTTTGAGATGTCAACATGAAATGTCAAAGGTGGATAGATCTTTTTGAGGAGGAATGCTGTGCACAAGAATGATAACTCTTCCCTATACAATTTTTGAGTTATTGCCCTTTGTTCTTTTTCATACTATTTTGTCTGTTCTTTTTCATACTATTTTGTCTGGGGCTTATCTCAAAAAGTATTTGAGGTATCAACTTGAAACTTCATAGGTGGATGGATTTCATTGAGGAGGAGTGCAATGCACAAGAGTGATAACTCTACCCTGCATAATTGTTTAGTTATTGCCCTTTTTTATTTTTCAAAATTAACTTTTGTCCAGAGCATAACTCAAAAGGCCTTTGAGATATCATTATGAAACTTCATAGGTGCATAGATCTAACTCAGGAGGTGTGCAGTGCACAAGAATGATACCTCTACCTTTTATAATTTTTGAGTTATTGCCCTTTGTTATTTTTCAAACTTAATTTTTCAATTCAATTTTTTTCTCAAAAAGTATTTGAGGTATCAACTTGAAACTTCATAGGTGGATATATTTTACTGAGGAGGGATGCAGCACACAAGAATGATAACTTGCCCTGCATTATTTTTCAGTTATTGCCCTTTGTTATTTTCAGACATCAGTATTCAAATCTGTAATCACTATAGCCATCAGTTTTCATTACCAAAAGACCTCTTAAAATGGAATTATTCTGCTGTACTACTACATATACATTCTTCCAATGAGCAAACACATTCGGCGGGGGATGGCCATGTTGACATGGCTCTTATGGATTATATAACTGCGCATTTGAACTCCATACCCTACTTTAAAATGACATAGATCACTCAAAATCAAGATCAATAATCTAAATATTAACAGTTGATTAGCCTAACATGACGTTAAGTATATAATGTATGCATTAAAATGGACATATTTATTCGAGCAACGAATATGAACAATGTTTTAACCGTCTGCATAGACGTTAAATAATTAATGTGCTCAAACAAATTCAGTGCATTTATCGGTAAGAATAAACCTCGGTGCGGTTACTTGATATTTTAATGTTGTTGAATATAGAAGTGCACCAAACAAGAAAACCACGACCTTTAAAGTAGTTTCAGCGAAACTGTTAAAATGAAAATGTTTCGTGACAAAAAAATTCCAAAAGGAAAGAATGCTTCATGTTTTATTCTAATTTGGCTTACATGTGCGTTTGCCAATGATTGTTCAAAATCATTTCAAATTAAATCGGAATACTTCAATAAACGTCTTACTGGACACTCAATCGTTGAAATCAAGGTTCCAAATCAACACATGTGTGCTCGTGAATGTATTTACATATCTATGTGTAAAAGTATGGACTATTTCCATGGTACGTGTAAACTCAACGACGCCGACAGCAAATCTGTCTTGCTCGGAGAATTTCAGGTTAAGCTTGGTACCATTTTCTCTGATGTTTCAGACTGGCCATTGGTAAGCTTTTATCTTAATTAATATGATCAGCACTTTTGGGCTAAACGGTTTTCATATAGTACCTGCACATCTTTAAGGTAAAATATTGGTTTGTGTACTGTCAATACAACTGGCATTATTCCTGTGTGGAAGCGCCTCGTTAAATGATACAGTTGGGGCTGCATTAAATGACCGTTGCTGTATTCTTGTTCATTGTTAGTATCATATTTGACAAATATAAGAAAAAATATTAACAAAGGGAGTGATGTTCATCCACAACGTCCATAAGCAAGGACCCCAAAATAGGCATTTAGCACAAGATCAGAAATAAATGCAAAGCAAAAGTAGGGGACAAGTTTTTTGGTTAAAATTTGAAAATTAAGATCAACAAGGAAGGACGGCGTTCACTGAACGCAACCCCCGCACGACCCAGCAACACAGGACCACCGGGAAGAAGCCCAGCAGGACCCCAAACAAAAACAGGTCAGGGCACAAGGCAAAGCACGGACGGGATAATTACGGCAATGATACATAATATGAAACAATAGAAACAGAAAAGGAAATTCAAAAAGACAATTTCATAATTGACAAAAGTCTAAATGGCGCGTAGGGGAAGGTGATTCCAGGCTCTGGGACGGAAGCAAAATTAAAAAAAGTAATAAGACATTGGGCACAGGTAAAGATACTTGCCGTTGATGAGAAATCAACAAGAAGGGGCACAAAAGTGCAGTCAAAACTAATAGGACTGTGGCTCTACTATTCTCATCTTTTAAATTTAAGCAATACGTAAAAATAACAAAATACACGTAGTCATATGTACGAAGATTGTTTTAAAAACTAATAGGACTGCAGCTCTACTATTTACATTTTTTTTAATTTAAGTATACATTTTTAAACGAACAGTTGTCCTCTGTATACAGTGAAAATAAAAAATCAACTAAAAACAAAATGTTTACCAATAACAATTCTGTGAATATTATAAATAGCCAGGGATTTGCGTCCTAGCGCACGTAAACAATACAATAAACGTCCATGGCTTCGCAAAAAAAATACAAAAATGTTACAAGCACCATTCTTTCTGAGGACGATAACTAGGTCTAGTGTGCGGTGAAAAAGCCAGAGATAAAACAGCAATTACATTCCCTCTCCGTCAAATGGCCAATCTCTTGATTTTTGACTTGGCGCTCAACGGAAAAAAATATTATGTAACTGTAATTAATGATTTATAACATTAATTAACACAGGCCATCTTCCGATTTAATCATAAGATAATGAAAGTAACTATATACAGTATAATAAAAAGAAATATTATTAAAAAAAAATCACTTGATATTGTCTAAAAATATTGACTGTAAATTAAGAATCCCTCTTACCGTCATCGGTAAAAATCTTACAATTCAAGACTATAGACGTAAACTCGTAGATTCAAAACCTGTTTCAACCCCTTTGATTTTTTTTTTAATTTTAATTTTAAAGTTGCCATTCTCTTAAAACCCATGCCTACCATTTTGTGTGTATGGGGAGTGTGCGTGGGTGCGTGCGTGGGTGTATTTTATGTGTATCTTTACTTTATTTATAAAAAAAATAAATAAATGTAACGAAATAAAAAGAAAATGTAAAAAAACAGTACTTAAAATGTATCGTAAAATAGAATAAAACCAGATGATGTAAAACGATTTCATATTTATTCTTGCAGGTTAATTCAAATACAAAAATGTGAATCTTCATAACGTGGTGTTGGTTAGGAATCTAAATCAGTATACCACAACTCACTTAAGTGAGAAGTTAACAAAAAGATCGATATATTCGTCAGATACCAGTGTGTATCCAATGACGTTTGTAAAACATTTAAAATAAATTGATGGACAACAAACAACGTTTACATTATTATCCCCTGCCGATGGAATCGGAGGGATGTATTGGTTTGGCGTTGTCCGTCTGTCTGTCCGTCCTTCCATCCGTATGTCCTTCAAAAAGGGAACAATAGAAAGAAAAAAGAGAATCCACATTATCATTGTCCCGTTAGAACGTCCGCCCATCCGTCCGTCCGAATTTCGTTTCCGCGCTGGTTCCCTGCAACAACTGGCTGGGATTCAAGGGAACTTAATTGGAACCATCAATATCAAGAGGACATGCGCATATCATCGCCTTGTCCCAGTGAGACCCTTTAACTCAGAGTTATGGCACTTGATTGGTTATGCATTATGCATATAGAGCAATAATAGTTTCGAGCAACTTCTCTGCAACTAATGGCTGGAATTCAACGAAAATTTATTGGATTCTTCAACACTAAAAGGAGATGCGCATATCGTCGCCTTTCTCTGGTCAGAGTTATTGCCCTTGATTAGTTATGCAGTATTTATTTAGAGCAATAATCGTTTCCACAATACTTCTTTGAAAATACTGGCTGGAATTCTATGAAACTTAATTCGAACCTTCAATACTAAGAGGAAATGCGCATATCATCGCCTTGTTCTGGTCAGACCCTTCAAAGCAGATTTATTGCCCTTGATTAGTTATGCAGTATGTAAATACAACATTAATCGTTTCTTGCTATTTCTTGCAACTACTGGCATAAATTCAAAGAATCTATGGGAAATATCAATTCCAAAAGATGTGCATATCATCGCCGTGTTCCTGTCAACTCTTTTACTTAGAGTAATGGCCCTTGATTCGTTATGCAATATAGAGCAATAATTGTTTTTTTCGCCCATTACTCTGCCCAAAAAAAATTGCCGGTTTCAAGCAAAAATTTTTGGGAAAAAAAGTGGAGAGTGCCCTTTTGATTTCCTTTTTTGTTCAACACTTCAACCCCAGGGTTATGACCTTTATTTGTTTTGCAGTATGCATTGACAGCAATAACGTTTACTCGCTATTTCCCTGCAAAATCCTTTGGGTGGAATTTAATGAAACTTTATTTTGAACAAACAATTCTAAAGGGAAAGAGTGCAAAATCATTTCCCTTTTTCCGGTCCCGGGCCCTTCAAGATTAATGGCCCTTGGGTTATTTGCCCGGGATGCATAATTTAGTAATATTTCTATTTTTTTCCCAAATGCTGGATTATTATCAAAAAACTTTATTTGGAACCATCAAACGAAAAAAATGCCGGGCCATGAAAATTATTAAAAACCTTATGGTCTCCATTGATTTTTCCCATAAGGCGGGGATATAAATTCAACTTGTATCATAGTTTGGTGACATTTCTATTGAAAATGGTATAAGTTACCCGCACTCAGAGCATGCCCATTGATTGGCTCATTTTGCTGTGACGGAAGAGAAAGGAAAAGCGACAGAAATATCATATTCAGATGCTCGTTCATTGGTTACATTTTCCCAGGGTTTCATATTATGACAACAGGGAACTTTTTTATGTTTGACTATGATACAAAAGTGAAAATACATCAACAAACTCGGCAATCTAATTAATACTAGGGGCTACGCCACCTCGTACAAATCAGATAGCCTCGTGTTTCGATTGTCTTTCTATTACGAATTTTTTTGTCCTACTTTATACGTTATAAATAGTGTTCAAAAAACGAGACCACCAATAAAGTTCACTATCCAGTGAGTTTACTAAATGTACATGAAAAACACGCCAAAATATGTGAACTTATTAAGTACCCTCAGATTTTGATGTTCAAATAGTTGATGTGTTCATAATCAATTGATATAATGTTATAATTACATAGCTTATTATCATTTTATTTCTTTTTGCAATATTTCACAGGTGATTCTTTAGATAATGTTAATATTATATATGATTACAAAATTTATGAAGTCAAACATAAAAAAAGTAAAGGGACACTTCAATAAATACTGTAAAATAAAAATTGTCCTATTTAAAAGGGACATACTTACGAATGTTGCATTTCGCGCATGCACATTCTGCGTAGGGCAAAAACGCAATAACGGTGACTTCATTTTTCATAATTAAAGGCTATAAAACGTGATTTCAAGTTATGTCACACAGAAACAGTAATTTTGGGATGACTTAAAGAAGTAAGAAGTAAAAACGTTAATTGTAAACAGATAAACGAAACTATGAGGGCCTTATTATTCAATGAAAAAAGCGCATGTACAAAAGTCCTCTTTTTAAGATAACGTTAGATGCCTTTTCCATCACACATTTTACTCGAAACAGCAGGGTGTTAAAGATTAAAGTTAATTACCCTTATATAACATAATATTGCACAATTTGTATTGTACACTTCCTTTCAAAAAGTGGATTGACAAGACGGTAAGTGCTAAACAGATAGACACGTGAGCGGTCGTTTATTTCAGCTAGGTTACAATATCATGCACGAGTACCTTGACATAGTTAATTACGTAAAATTATGAAAATTGTGACGTGCATTTACAAGTGTTACGCGGATTCGGATGATAAAAGTGTCTTATTTCACCACACACAATACCCATCTTAATTTCAGAATATTTTGAAAAATTATGAATATTTATTTGTGACTTAAAGGCGTCAATCGGATTAAGGATAAAATTAGTAACTCTGAAAACTTTAAATGCATTATCACGTTTTCGGATGTTTTGTTTTCCAGATTGATAGTTAACCTCGATTTCATATATTATTGAAATTTCTTTAGTGTTTGTATGAACTATATCAACAACAATTAAGTTGACCTCTTTTTGCTATTGGTCATCCGCCTCCGTGGTCGAGGGGTTAGAGTCGATGACTTCTAATCCAGTTACCTCTCTGGCGTGGGTTCGATCCCCGGGAGATGCTTTGGTAGTTTAGCGCGGAGGAAGGTAGTCTAGTACTGGTGTAACTCTCCAGGAACGATGGTTAGGAAACTACCCGCCTATATGACTGAAATACTGTTGAAAAAGGCGTAAAATGAAACAAACAAACAAACAAATTTTGCTATTGGATGTATTTCCACATGTTTTATAACAATGTCAGTGTCAAGTCCGTAATCGCAAGGTGGAATTCGTAAACAACCATCTTTCTATAAAATAGAGAAAATAAGAAAATTCAGAAGGTCCAACACGTCAAAATTGCAAATGTTGCAGGCTCGGTTTGATTGAGCCTGTTCATGGACGGTACTGTCAAGTGTAAACTACCTGCCTTTTTATGGCAAACTTGCTCACAAAGTTATGCATGTATCTTTATTTTTTTTTAAAGCTATTTCATTTGATTTTTTAAACTAACCCGGAATTGTCTATGAACTTCTCTATATATTTCTGTGTAGGGCGATGCTCTCTTTTGCCCTACGTATATTGCGCGCGAGAAATTACTACTTCCGATCGATTTTTCATAGCATCGGACCGTGTCGTTAAAGGGTCTAAACTATAATTTCTATGTTAACAAAATGTTGTTGTTGTTTATTTTTTACCTACAAAAAATAATTATGCCATTGTTATGTAAGCATTGCTAGCAGTTTCATATGTATTGAACACTTAGAAATAACATATGCAAGTTAACAATTTATACTTCGGCCAATCATCTTTTTTTAAAGATATTTCTTGTTTATTTTACTTCTACAATAGCAAATGTTCTGTGATAACCTCCTTACTGATCAACAATCTTCAAACATTATTGTTTTGCTTGGTCTACTTTCAGACGTTGCTATGGAACGTAGGCGGTAGCTTGCACTGACACGAACAGACTTCAACAAACATTTATGATATAGTCGTTTCAAATGTTCTTTAAGGTTTCCATTTACCGTTTAAAGTATTGTGTGGCAAAATTGTTGTCCAATATTTCATCTATCTCTTGTTAATCATACAAATCTATTGATATTAGCAACTAAAACTGCTAATTAGCGCTTTGTGACGCGCAAGACTGATTATACGAGTTCAAGCTTTCTTGATCAGACATTATCATGCTGTTTGTGTAATTTTATGGTTTTCATTTTTGTTCAATTGCTTTCCAATGGATTTTAGAAACGAGATCTACATAATGATTGTCATAAGTTAAACATATAATCGGTGAACGTCTGCAATTTTCAATAAATATTTAAGACCCATTATGCCTCAAATAGGAATAATTAGTATTTCTTGCAAACATTATACTTTTGTTTTACTGATACAATTTCCAACAAATAAATATTTGCCATATAGATAAACAATCTTTTATTTCGTTTTCTTTGTTTGCAATTTGTAAGTCAGTAAGTGCAAAATTTGTATTTCAAAATACTTCCTTGTTTACGTTTTGTTGCCTTAATGAAATAATTCTGCTTACCAAGTCCTACTTTTTCAGCTGTTAAACATCTAAAATGTTCTACATTATCGATACTTAAAACGTTGTAAACACATGTTTGTCATTGCAAAACATATGGATTTCTGAGGCATAATGTGCCTTTAATTCAACAATCAATATATTATATAGTCAATACAATATGTATATATATTTGTACAGTTGATTGCTGGAGCGTGTGGTCAACAACCTTGTTCACAGTCACAAAAATGTATTCCCGTCAACAACGGCTACAAATGCGAGGAATTAGGTAACAATATAATCCCCAGTTAAAAGATTTTATTTACGATTACAGTGAATCCGTATGAATTATTACTCTTTTTATGTAAAAGCACATGAATGAAAAGTACAAAAAGGGGCAAAATAACAAAAAATAGTGCGTACGGTTTGGTCCTATAAGTAGAATTTGTATTTGTCGCAAAAAAAACGTATTGACAGTGTCAACTTTCTTGCCTAATTTAAAGTACCTGTTCATAATTAGGACAATAATAGTGATGATGATTTTTGTTTATTTAGCAATTACGGACTGTAGTGATGTACGGCGTTATTTTCCTTCTGCAATCAGCGGGAAACATAAAATAAGGCTATGGCAGTCACATGAGTTATTGACAGTTGTCTGTGATATGGAGACGGAAGGTGGTGGATGGACGGTAAGGAAATCGTCATAGCTTGTGCAACAGAAATTATGTTAAAAATTGAAGCAATGGATGGCTAGGCCAACACTAGGTACAGAAGAAAAAGAGAGAAATATTTCCCCTTATTAGTCATTCAGGACAATTGATTTATATACATAGCAATTATCAGTTTCAAATGGCGTATAGTCTGTATGACTGATTAACTCCTATCATAATAAGATGAACATATTTCGTTACTGCACTAAGGTGTCGTATATATTTGTTTAGATTTATCATATATATTCATCTCCTAGATTTATTTATATTAATTTTAGTAGTGTGTTGCAGTTGTAAATGTTGCCTGAAAGTTAATCTCTTTATGTACTTTGTATTGATTAAAAAATTAATTTTGTGGAACATATCGTCTTGTGACTTCATTCACTTGTTTTGTTTCTTGTAGGTATTTCAATCACGATTTGATGGTTCCGTAGACTTTTATAAGGAATCAACGGAGTATGTAAATGGATTTGGTAATCAGGACACAGAATTTTGGCTAGGTACGGTAGTCTGTATCTGTGTTATGCTTTACTGACAGCCTTTCCAGCGTTCTTTGTCCTTTCATGCGTTAATTGATTGCTGCTCTTTCTTGTTGACCTTTGTTCTCAAATTTTGTGGATATAGCATTTATAGTTGCTGCGTTGAGTAAAAGTCAATCTATCTTGTTGTTTTTTTCTCTTTTTCTTCTTTTTTTAATTGTCTTAATGAACTTACAGATGTTTGAAGTTTGTATTGTTATCATGTTAAAGAATTTTTTAATCTCCAATATTTTACTATACATTGATTAAATTGATAAACATTGAGTTATTTTTCATCACAGATAGAAGAGACACTTTTGGTTCAAATTAAAATAGAAGTTGAAAATTTTGCTTTAAACAAACTAATTTACGTATCTCTCAGGTCTTAAATATTTGCACGAAATGACGTCTCAAGGAAAGACTGAATTAAGGTTGGACTTAACGGCCGCTGATGGAACTACAGTGTATGAAACATTCAGGAACTTTAACATTGACTCTGGTCCAGAGTACACCATTCATTTCGATCCTGGATTTGGAACTGCCGGTAAGATATGTAATTCAAATACTTTAAATTTTGGTGCATTTTGTTTGTGTTCATAGTTATATCAATTATGCTGAAAAGCGTTGTCTATATGCTTAAAATACAATTTGGCATTCATTGCGATTTATTTTATTAAAAACGAAACCGGAGTCGTCAAGAATAATACAGATGCAACCTTTTTAATTACGTGAACCTTTACGTGCATTGTTACAAATCCATTTCGTGTAAATAGTCATCTTCCAATCTATTTAAAACAATGCCCTTAATGCCCACTGTGCTATCAGAAGATTAAATTGCTTCATCTACTCATTTGCATTTCAAATAAAGACACAAAACATTCTCTCTTACGTATGCTTTTTAATTAATTTTTATCTTTAACTACCTTGTAGGTTTCTATTATTTCCTATTTCATAATGACGTCTCGTCAGTTTTTGTTTTTGCCTGTATGTACTGTTTTGGTATCTTGCTAGGCTCCTTGCCAGTAATCCGGTGTTGGGAAATGCGTTTATTTGCTTTCATAGAACGTTGCCCTTCCTTCTTGATTTTGTTGTTCATATTTAATATAGATTCAGTGTTGCTTATCTAACTGATTGTAATCAGAGTAATATATTTATGTTACTAATTATTATTTTAACCTATAGGTGATGGGTATTCCAACTACGGTATGTCATACCATAACGGTATGCATTTTACCACAGTAGATGAGGACAGAGATAATGATGAAAAGAACTGCGCCGTTCATTGCCAAGGTGCTTGGTGGTATAACGCTTGTGGCGGCGTGAACCTCAATGGACAGTACATTACTCCAGGGACTGTTCACCCCGATGGCTTCTGGGTTGGAGTGATTTATAATCAATTTACTAATGAAAAGTCTCTGAAAGAAACCAAAATGATGTTCCGGCGAGGTATTACTAATGGTTCGTAACTTGAAAACCCGGACATATTTTCTTTGCAATACAGCGTTTATAAGGCAATATTGTTCAAATCTATGCATTCAATTAGTATCGTGGATTTGTCTAAAGATTAATATATTTTCTGAGAACAAAACAAAAATATATAAGCAGAATTTAACTATTTTAAATAATATTTTTGTTAAAGTAACATTAAGCCCATTCTAGTATTAATGTTCCATGAGCTGGAAAAAAGGTCATTATAAGTACTGATTGGTAACGTTTATTTGATAAAAAGAGTTGGGTAGTGTTTTTATAGTTTGGGCACTTTTATATCCTATCGTTATCATATGTCATCTTTTATTTGTCAAAAATGAGCATGATGTAACTTTTATAAAATACACTGTAGTATATCACTTGACTAGATAATTTAGAAGGTAATATTTTGGTACACCTGATACTTTATGTTTTGTTTATTTCTGAATGCTAATTGTGGTAATATCAATTGTGTCCTTTTCGTTTTGTCGTCATTGACAGATTTATGTAATGATGTGTTAAATTGACCGCAGGATATGTTGCATGAACATCTAAGTATTGCATTAGACAAGCAATAGAATAAATAGAATAATTACTAGATGTATGTACTAATGCTCATTTGAAGAGCTACATTAATGTATGAACTAAAGTTTTCAAAACTTATTTATCCAATCTAACGTTTTATAAACTGTTCTGTAGGCACTTTAAAACACAATCCTAAAAGAATTTAAAATTAACCTTCTTACATAAAATGGATATAGTAATGACTTTTTTCACTTTGTCCGATAATTTGCCTAATTCCTAAAGTATTCACTTTGTCTAATAACATTAAATTCACAATTATGTAGTTTTCCTTTCCACATTAATTCGTCTCGGTAAAGGGAATGCTCTATTTGGTGTTTGAGAATGAATGTAAGGGATTAATATTTTTTTTTGGCTCATGTATATATGTTTATGTTGCTTCTTGTCTTTTGTAATTGTAAAATTGTACAAGAAATTATAAAGAAAACGTCGATTCCTTTAATACCAAAAACCTTTTGTTTCCAATACTTAAGTCTTCACGATTTTTATAAGTCTTCCTTTGTTTCTATTAAAATTTTAAAGGTTAATAAACAAAAACTCTCCAGTCTAAAACTTAAAATTGTATTGGCTCCAAGCAGAGTTGTAAAGAGTAACTATCTGATGATCACTTTCACAGTAAACCACGTGGCCTTTATATCTTAATGTGTGTTTATATTAATATACTCAATGATTGTGATTGTGAAGATTTTGCTGATAACTGAAATAGCGTTATTACATAATGACTTTGTAATTTTAATTTAATGTCTCTGGTAAAAAAAAAACTTTTTTTTAAGAAGATAACCTCTTTTTTTAAAACAGAAAAATCGCATTGTAAAGTATATTAATTTTATGTGGTTTTTGAAACTTCAGAATAAAACTCTTGACTACGATATTCCCGGGCAATGCAATTATGTCATTTTGAATTGTTACTATGAGCAAGGTTAGTACTTAGACATCTGTTTTTTTCTAAGCTACTCAGACTAAAAATGCATTAACGTATTAAATATATTAATGTCCTTAATGCCTAATGCATTACTCGCGCTTATCAAAAAACGGGACTATTTTTCTATGTACGTGTGTAATGTCCAAGGTAACATGATATCATTCTTCTTTTTCCTATTGAAAGTTTTACATAGTTTGAAGCACATGCTATTTGAATAGACTGTATAACAAGTTATTGGTTTTTTTCATTTGATTTAAATCCGGAAAATTAATGTAAGATATCGACGAGTAAATGTATTATAAAACAAATTTATTCATGACTTTCCTTGACTCTTAAATATACGGAAATGTTATTCTCCTTGGGAATTCAATATTCAATATTATTTGAATGTCCTTTGCTAAAATAGAAAAGTGAAGATTATATCGACTGATTTAAAATGTTGAGCATCATATTCAGTATCAAATTCTTTGAATGAATTATATTACCTAGTGTATGAGGATCGAACGTTTAGTGAACGCAGTCGTTTAATTAAGATTTGTCTGCAATGATTTCTGTATTATATTTATCTTTTCGTTCTATAAACATACAAACAAATACCCTCGAAATCAAGCATTGCTTTAAAATAATATCATTATTTAAAGGAGAAAATAAAACACTTAAATAATTATATATTTCAATGAAGATGAAGGAAATGCAACACTATTGTAAGATTCTAGATGGAACGTAATCATTGTTAATGAAGTAAGACATTAGCATGAAAGAGAAATAATCACTCGTATCATCGCAATCTTGAACTGAGGCTATCATTAGCTTTATCACACTTATTTCATCAAAAGTACAAAATATATAAAGATTATCAACTACATGTATCAAACTTTTACACATATATTAGTTGATACCATGCACATGGTTGCCCAGTTTAAAAAAAAAAGATAAGCATGCATTTTCTTTCCTTTTAAAGTTTTCCTCCAGTCAAGTGTCTGGGATTGTACAAGGATAAGAAGTGGAATTGAACTTTTTAAAACTCAAATCCAATGTTGCTTATTTATTAATTCAAAATATTGACTAAAACTGTCTAGCACTGACCTTGCAATATACGTTAGTGCACAAATATGCTTTTATTTGGGACCAAACGCCGCCTTTCGTAGAATGGCATGTACGTGACCATGATCATAGCCCTATGAACACATATTTGGAAGATTCTAAGAATTTTGTTTAAATTAACTATCGATTTAATGTTTAAATGTTGTGGTCCGCTTAGGCCCGTGTGAGTGATGTACACATCATATAACATTTATTATTAAGTATATTGAGCAGGCTCAATCAATTGAAACTGAGTCTGGAATATTTTCAGTCCTGCCACTTAGGTTTTTAGAGGTTTCAATTGTACATTGTTTTATGCCACTATTGTTTGATGTTGTTGTTGTGTGTGCTTTTCATAGTTGTTTGTAAAAAATGCATTTTTATAAATTTGTTTCATTGATATTATACTTGACATTCATAATATAGTTGGCGGTTTGTTCCCCAAAATTTGTCTTTCAAGGAAAACATTTTATATTTCAATACTTTCTAGTCACTTTGTATTTTTTTGTATTTTTTTTTTTTTTTTGCAATATTATATTTTCACTTTATCTAAAAATCTGGTCAACTTTTAGTTTTGTCATTTCTTTTCCCCTCAAATGTAACCATTTAAGCTTATGTAGATGGATTCAGAAATTCTCTTTTTAAGCAATGAAGTAATGCGCCTTGTTAGTGCACCTTAACCTTATAACACAACATGATTTGGCTATTAGCCGAGTTTCGAAAGGACGGTCGTTTCTGAAAACACCATCAAATACTTAACTCCCGGAAATAAGCCATGTGATCACCAGAAACCAGATAACAGTGGATTGATAAATTGAATGGAAACGACGTGTAAATAAAGTTATGTCTCTTATTATCAATTATATCTAAAGAAATAAACTTTTGCATTGATGGTTCGATGAATATCTTCGTGTGAACACATTTGCAGATGTTTCTTAATACATAATTTCACCATTTTTGTATTTAAATGTAGAATTCTGCTTAAGCCAGTGCTAGGAGGGTGTGGACGGTAACACCGCCTAAAACCGAGCCTACAACATTTTCAAATTCGCCCTTTTGGGCGTTTAAAGTTAGAGATTCCGTTTTTCTCTATTTTACACCATTCGGTCGAAACAAGCTAACCCCGGGTGTAACAAACTTAAAGCAACACCAGAAGTCAGAACCATCTCGTCTGCTTGGGCTTAGAGATGCAATCATCATTTAGATGTCTCACGATCATGCAGGGATAAACGTTGGCTGCAATTTATTTGTTTCATTTTTCTTGTACTTTAGTTTAAAATATATTTATATCTGATGAGGTGATGGATTTTTAAACCATGCATTTCTAAGCAATCATGCCTGTACTTAACAACAAAATTATATTCCTTACACTTGGCATCTGAAAAGAATCATCTAAATTATGGAATTCCACAGCGACTCGCGGCAAAAGTAGATTGTTTACATTTATTTTAGATATGTTTGATGTTGCGTAACTTTACATCTGGTAATCGATTCTACCTTATGAGTATTGTCATAATGATAATAAGAATTACTTTCAGGCCACTGGCATTAGCTGATCTGTGCAGAAACCATATGAATTTTACATTATTGTAATTTGTCAATGACAACTCTCATTGTGTCTTAATTGGAAAGTACTACATTTGTATATGTCCCAGACTTTTATATAAAAACTATCTGGTTCAAACATGATTTAGTTGCAGAAAAATTGTGTTATATTTTTTTTAAATATTTCACAAAATCAGCTCCATTTCACAGCTAGAAAAATGTTATTTAAAGAAAATTCTTTAGATTAAGTACAAACAGTCGCTGTTGAGATCGCACCTTTTAATGCTGCATATTTGTTGTTAAAATTGTAAGTTTATTGTGAAAAAATAAACAATTTCTGAAATATTTTAACCAAAATGTCAATTATCCTAACAGCAGATTGCCTCACGAAAATAACAGAAATTCTACCGCTGTACTAATCTCAGAATATAAAACATTCATATTTTGCTTCAATTACAAACTTCGGGATATACATTCTTGCAGTATAGTATGGTATCATTTCATCCGGGTTATTGCTAGAACCACATGTTGGAAGAGGTCAATAATATTAGGCTTCATGATTCAACTCTTTTATGGCAGATGATCATGTTTATTTGATCATATTTACATCGGCTACAGTGTTAGTAACGCGTTAGATTATGGAGAGAAACAGAATAAGCGTTGTAGTTGCTTTTTTCAAACATGCCGCTTATACAAGCGACTCTTCCTTACCAGTGACTGGTTGGAGGCTGTTCATGTTTTAGATCAAACCAATAAAAAATATATGGGAACTTATGATTATTTTTTTGAAATATATGAATTGTTATCAAATTGATAAAGTAATGTGGCTTGGTCATTATTGTACGTATTTTAAAAAGACTTCCGTTAAAATATTAACATCTCATAGTTTATCTTAAGTCAAAGCAGTGAAGTGGTTTAAGTGCTATAAACTCTTCTTGTCAAATATAAAATCTGTTTATCTGTGATTTAGTAATTACTTTACATACCGTGGCATTATGGCGACTTGAGAAAATTATACACAGGATAAAAAAACAATTTTCGGCGCTGTTATTGCATAACTTCAAACAAAGTGATCTAAAATGATAACTCTGAAGTTTAAATGGGGGCCATTCAAAAATAAAGTGCTCATACTAAAATAAGAACTTAATGAGGTTTCATTTTTCTGTATTTATTTTCGGGTGAAGGTGAATATTTGCCTAAACATTATAAAGGTAGATTACTTGAACAAAGAAATATTATAATTAATACCGTGTATATCCATTAACCAAAGAATGTGAAAATATAGCAAACGTGTTCATTGAATGCCGCCTTTCCTTGTCGATCTTGTTTATCATAATTATTTTGTGCAAAAGTAACGCAAAGTTGTGCAATTCTATGGCAAAAACAAGCACCACTGAAAGTAAATGAACCAATAATTTCATTCTACATAAAATTGAATTAAAGGTGAATTAGCGCATACATTATTTTTTTAAACCTCATCATTTCCATGAATTTTTTTTTTCATTATCATTCGTGAGAATGACTACATTGGCCTAGCGTTTCTGCTTCGTCGAGATCTATAAATGCAAAAACTTATTTATTACATTATTATATTTATAATCGATATATCTGAGACATTTGTGGATTTGCTCGTGTTCTTATACTTGAACTATCAGATAAAATGTGACTGAGAGAAAAGTACGAAGTAACGCCGAAAACGTGAATGATGTACCAAAGCAATACAACACAAAAATAACTAATCATATTTTGTCTTCTTCCTTCTAGTATTATATGACACTAGTAGTTTTGCAAATGTCTAAATCATCTGAAGTAAAAAGAATATAAAGTTTAAAATGCGTGTTGTTGAAACAAAAAAATCCCTGCAAAACTGTAGTCACTTAAAATGTAAATATATTCCTTGAAATGTTTGTAATGTTGGACATAGCAGCCGTATGCGTTTATTTATTGTTTATATTTGCTTTATATTTTATATATTTTTATATTTTGTATTTCAAGAATTTTTTGCTCCTCTAAATTGGTTTTTATAAAAAAAATGAAAAAGAAACAAATCATTTAATATTCTATCTGACGTTATAGTCGATTACCATTATTGTATCAAATAGGTTAAAGGTGGATGCCAAATTCTGTCAAACAAATATTCTGTAGCCAAATTCGAAATGCAATATTTGCATTCTTGCCAATTTTTTGTCATAATTGTCAGACAAAATTCACTGATGAAGAACTAAAAACAATTTTTTTTTATTATTTATCTTGGCAAAAATGTTTTGATTTGACATAAAATTGCTTCGGTCCTTCAAGTCAGATTTAAAATATTATTTGTGTAGATTTTACTCCATGGTGGGGATGTGGATATAAAAGCAATTGTGAAACAATATATTTATAACCAACAATTGCAAATTGTATTTTCCTTTTAACCTATGCTGATCAAAATTATCATATTTAAATGTTGGGTCTTGAATAAGCCAGTACAATTGGATGGACGGAAGTTAGCATATACGTAACACTGTCGTTCATAGACACCTGTAAAATTTTTGGTATAATTCTTCTTTCAATGAACATTAGGACTCATTAATTGATAGTTTTGTTTCCCTTTTTTCTTTTGATATTTATCTTTGAGATTAACTAATTGGCATTGGTCGATTTTGAAATATATCTTCTTTTATGACATATTATATTTTACAATAACCAAGTTATTCCTGCCTATCTCATTTAAAAACAGTTTATGTGCTCGTCCATAAATAAATGTAATATGTGTTAAATGATGACAGAAAACTAAACCACGTTTCGGTGTTATAAGTCAATTCCTGAATTAACATACAAGCTTCACACGGCGAATAAATTTGTTTGATAATAGTGTCGAGTACCCAGATTCAGATTTATGAGGAATACAAGCAAATGTTCATTAAGTCTATCATTATCAAATCGCAGACACATTATTGTACTGACACTAAAACTGCATTAGTAAATATTTAGGACGTGTATTTACTAATATAATTATGTTAATGTGAGAGCCAACACAGGTGAACTAAATGACTATGATTGAATACTTTAAGACCAAAGACAATACCAAGTCAATATATTCTAATTTTCAATTATTGACTTATGAATTCCTTGCCCGATTTTTTCAAACATGCCAGGGTTGTTTCAATAACTGTTTAAATGTTTTATAGTGTCAGCACTAAGGAATCTTTTACAAATAGTGTTACACCAAAACCAGTCAAAGTAGGCACATTTATATAATAATTACCATTAAAGAAGATACTAGTAACTTTCAGAAAAAATACTTGTTTGTATAATTAAAATACCTAAAAAGGTTCCAGAATTGAAGTTATAAAATGTAAGACATAAGAAACAAGGAGTCAAAATACGATCATCACAAAAGCTTTTGGCAGTGATATGGACATTATAGATATGCAAATAGAAGATATGCTCTATAATAATCTGGATATTTTATCATCTCAAGTATACTTGGTATTACGACCTCATACCTCAAGCAACATAATTTGGCATCATGACCTTACAACGCAAGCAACATCATTTGGCATTACGACGTCATAACGCAAGCAACACAGTGGGCATTACGACCTCATGACGCAATCAACATCAGTGGGCATTACGACCTCATGACGCAAGTAACATCAGTAGGCATTACGACCTCATGACGCAAGTAACATCAGTGGGCATTACGACCTCATGACGCAAGTAACATCAGTGGGCATTACGACCTCATGACGCAATCAACATCAGTTGGTATTACGACCTCATGACGCAAGTAACATCAGAAGGCATTACGACCTCATAACTTTCGTACATTTTTTGTGATATGGACGTTCGTCATATGGACGTAATTGTTTTGAATGGTGTATAAACTGCTTAATGCTGTATCGTATGGCATCGGGGAAATCCTAATCATCAGTTCTTAAAGTGGAATTATGCTCATTCTTTCGCTGTATGTTAATTATACTAAAAGA